TGCAGGGCCCGATGAGCCACAACAATGAGTCACTGCCAAAATTTAATAAAATAAACTTCTGCTTTCTTCGCTTGGTTTATTCATTTGCGTTGCACGTTTGCTTAGCCTCAGATGGCTGTGGTCTGCTTTTGTTTTTAATAAATTTCAATTTCGGGTAATAGCATTACTCAAGGGGATTCCGAGAAACGCAGGAATAGTCAGTCGTGCGCCGAACGAAAATATGAAACATAACTTATGCACTTCTGTGGTTTGCCTTCGATAAAAGGGTTTAACCAGAAGTGGGCTTGGGCGTGTGGACACTTGGGTGATGCATCTGGGCGTGTCCTACGACCACAACACGTAGCGGATTCGGCCAAGATCCAGACAAAAGATGGCTGGCAAAAACAGCAAACAGCCTGCAAAGAGTCAAGGTCGACAGATAACTTATTTGCTTTGCGATATCTTTGAGTCTTGAAGTTGATGCCATTAATTACAAGGGCGGGGCAGAATCTTTCCAATAAGTTCTTATTAGTACTTCTAGGTACTTGTTAAGACTGAGCAGTTAAGACAATGCAGATGTATCCCAATAAAGCCCAGGTGCATATCTAATATACAGAATTCAATGCTTAATACACGCATCGAACAAAGACACCGCTTGAAGGATTTCTTTTTGTGAGCCAAAAAGGAGTGGCCCCATCAATCAGTGCGCTCGGCCGAACAATCAGTCAATCACACTTCCTGCTCGCCATTGAATTCCTCTTTTGTATCTAAAATCCTTAGTTTATTCGTTTGTGCGACAGCCATATCAAAATATTTAATTGCGGCACAAAAGAAGACGTTACACTTGATTCGAAGGGGTCTCCAGTCCGAGGAGCAGGTGGGCCTTTGGAGAAGGGGCGGGAGGCGGTAGGCGGGAGGACGGCATTCCAGCACGTTTGAGTGCGTATAAATCAAAATATAAGAACAATATAACGCGAAATTAAGCATCGCGGCGAGGGAAGCCGCGGCAGAATGAATCGCAGCGGAGGACGGCGTGCATTTCAAGTGATTCAGCTTGAGCTTAAGGTCCAAGAACCAGAGCAAGTGCAGATAAAGTCCTACGCAATAATACTGCCTCCGATGGCTCAATACCAGTCACCGATCGAGACACTATCGATAAGGCCTAACTCCGCATGAATCATCATTTCAAGAAGCCGAGATCTGTGCGTAACACTCCCGTTATCCGAACGAGGAAGACCCCAGATCCCACGAAAAACCCCGCGGAAAGGGGGGTGCTGACAGGGAAGGACGCCGGCGTCAAACTTAACACCAAGTGAGTCGCGTTTCGGATCCGATCGGAACGGTATCGGGTCGCCTTGCCGCCGGCCATATAAAAGAATCTAAGCTGAGCGGTTCAAGCCTCAGTCTAGCACAAAAAACGCACTCGAACTTGCAGTTACGGCAGCTTGCTGCAGCAAGGCAAATCTAGAAATCGCATAGTATAGTTAAGCAAATTAGCAAGTGTTAAACAAATTAATTTGTGCTTCCGCCGCGTGAGAAGCTTTCCGCTATCGCGAGTGAGAAAACTCGAGACAGAGAGAGAGAGAGAGAGCTGCGCCCCCAAGTGAATCATCAGTGGATCTAACAGATAGCCAAAAGCTCGCTAACATCTAGCTTACAGTGCGTGCTAACAGTGAGCTAAAGGTGAGTCCTAGCGGGAAGTTAACATGTTTCTGGGGTCCAACACAATGAATTTCTTACTAGACTACGCTGGTTACTATTGATTCATACTACGCACAAATATTTCTAACAGACATGTAAGGATTATATTAGCTAACAGCTAGCTAACTGCCAGCGAAAGCCCAGCTAAATGTCCTAGCAGAAAAAAAAGCTTTTCCCTTATCCTGTTGCTCAGCAATCACATAAAAAAGAGCGAAGGGCAAGGGGCGTCTAACTACTGTATTTTCAACCACCAAAACTAGGATTCCTGTTCGCCTATGTGAGCGTGTTTTTACGGCTGTTCGCGTGACTCGTAAATTAGAGGCTAACACACACACATGACCTGGCCATTAGACACACACACACACAGACGTAGGCCCAGTACAAAAACAAGAAGTAGGGGTAGAACGAAGTCGACGACGCGAACATTATTTAGCTGCCACCACAAAGGCAGAAAGCTGAAAACAGAGGCAGAAAGCCAGACGAGTCGCAAACGGAACTTGCTGTGAATCGGTCGCTATCGCACCTCTCGGAACAAGTCGGTCTTAGCAGAAACTATGGATAAGTGCATATAGCCAGATCGTAAATGTGGATAATAGCCAATCGTAGCAAATTCCCCTTCGAGTGAGAGAGACTTTCGCCTTGATTCGTTCGCCAGCTCCTTATCTAACTACTGAGATCTAATCGCAATCGGTCGCAGATAATAGCTGATAAAGTTTCGAGCAAACCGGGCGAGAACTTAAAGAAAACAAAAGTCGTTTTGTGCAATATTTGCCGAAGGTACACGGGTAACCGCTTGATTATTTCACAAATTGGTTCATGCAAATTCTGTTTGCTCAATTCACCCGGTCGCCTTTCGTCTGCCGTATGGTAAGTGGATCCAGTGACTCATCTCCGCCGGGGAGTTCCACTTTCTCGGCGGGGCATCATCGGCCGAGAGCGATCTGCTGCCGCACTTTGCCTCTGACATTGCGGCCTGATCATAGACGGGGCCTAAACAATCATCACGTAGCCGCTTTGTAACATTGCGGTGCATGAATACGTATAATTATTGATACATCAGATACTTCATTTGTCGCTTGCCAAACGACTATCACAGCCTGACCGTGACGTGATTGAGTTTTAGAAATAGTTTTTTCGTACTCAAAGTCAGAGTCGCACAGTCTATTCAAATAAATATAAACCATATTCATATGCAATTAGCATTATCTGTCTAATCTGTATGACAATTTGTGTATAGTATTATATGTTCTGCTTGGTTGGCGCCAAAGTTCAAAGGCAGGAGTCAATGCGATTTCGGTTGTGTTTCGATGAGCTCCGTGGAAAAGTTCATTTCACTTCGGGCGAAGGCAACAAACCTTTATGCCTGCGATTGAGGCGGGGGCATGGTCTAAAAATACCATAAATAGTTGTCATTAAAGGCAGAAGATGCCCATAAATATTTCATTGTTCCGACGGCAGGGCAGAAACTGCATCGCACAGCGGGCGACGACGACAAGTCAACTTGTCCAATGCCATAACAGAAGAATAATATATTTCCAGATCCCAGAACAGATGGGGAAGTTGGGGGCTCCGGAGGGGCAGTGACAGCGGGCCAGATGCACTTGGTCCATGAATAAGTGGCATAAAACTGCATCGGATTTGTCTTGTCAGCCGCGCTTTGTTCTGCCAAGTTCTGCCAGTTCCATAAAGCGAATCAGGAATTGTCGTTGAGGCAAAAAGTAGCTATTATCTGGCTGTCGGATTTGCTGTTCGCTTTTCGCTTTTTAGCCGCCTGCCCATCTGGGCCCTTCGGCTTCGGCTGGTAAACAATTGTTCCAGTCGATTGCTGGATTTGCGCTTAGGCAGCAATTTGCCCCACGTGTCTCTACAAACTGAGTCACCGAAAATCGCACTCAATTGAAATTAATGGGATAGCACGGACGTAGGCTAGAACTGTTTATTGATTCCCAGAAGAAGACTCCCAGCGATGATTAGCATATTAGCACTTTTCGCCGGAGAACGGTGTTAATCAGTTGGCATGGAAAGTAAATATGTTTGCTCATGCACTCTACGGATTTTATTAACCAAACACAGAGCTATAGTATTTTTGCACTTTTAATTCTTGAAAATATTCCAAATGGAACCATAAATAACACTCCTTTTTTTTTAATATTTATTTCGTGACCTGATAGGTTTGTTTTGATTTTTGACCTAATTTATTGTCACACTTCTGTAATAATTATCAGTTGTTTTTATTCATCTCTATTGGTTTAAATATTTTACTTATGACTCGTGGTGTATGAGTAAAAACTATTATTATTTTATCTGTTCGGATTGCAGTGGCAATCCTGACTTTGTTTTTTCCTTTTTTTTTAAAAAAAGAATTCTTATGGAATTTTGTAAAATCATTAATAATATGTAAAATATCTGAAAGTGTCTAACAAATCAAATGGTCCCACACACTTTCCATTTGTGTTTGTCTATTAACACACCTCAGCCGCAATAAAATTTGATTATCATTTTTTAACTTATAAGCTTACGCATTACTCATACGCTCATTCAGAAACCGCTTGGCCACGGGGAATCCAAACCGCAGATTCATTCATAAAGTTTACCTTTCTGCGAGGCAGAGCGGAAATTCAGTTGAAATCGAGTGCGAATTTCAAGAAACAAAAGCTGTTAAGTTGTAACCGTTTGCGGAAGGGAGAAGGAAGTATGCTAAACTTCAAGATAAACTGTCAACTGCCACCGAATGTGAGTGTTTTTTTTGTGGCCACAGCGGCTGCTGGTGCCTCTGTTCGCTGGACCCGGTGGCGTATGACACATGAGCGGATGATTCCAAGAAACCGCATTACTCATACGCCCCCCTGAAGGGGAGAAGCGGGGCGGGGAAGGGACAACTTCGATTATTGGCAACAGGTTTCGGCAACGCAATCTCCACACAGCGTTTGGCATCTCCTCTGTTAAGGCGCCGAAGCTTTTCCCCTTTTTAATTGCCGAAAGCTCGAATGCGATCGGTTCGATTCTGCCGATGGACAGTGGAGCATGTGAATTAGAAAAAATTAGTAAAGTGAGTTGCTATATCTTAAAATAACCCACAAAAAACCTCATTCTTTTAGGTTAAAGCTATACTAAATACTGTATTTAAATAAAATATTTCGTTCAGAAGATGTGGCTCTTCGAATTTGCATATTTTTTTGTTTCTGGATGATCACGCATCTTTTATTAATTGGCCCACTGTGCTCCGTCGCTGCCTCGGTCGGCGTCGCTGCCAACGCCTCTGCCAGCGGCGGCAGTCGTCGTCGTGCGCCAGCGAGCGCTGAAGATCAGTTGAATTTTGCGCGCTGTCCAGGGCGGATGTGTTTAGCGGTAAACAGTAGAAGTAACGTTAACGTACCAATCGAAGTTCGAGTCACAAGTCCAATAACACTAACTTAGTTAAATTGACCGATTCCGAAAGAGAACATATCCGAAAAGTGATCCGATTCAGTTTTGAGTTTTGTTTTTGAACGCGGAAACGGGCCAAGATGGAAGTGCCAGCGAACAATTAGTGCAGCCAGACATAAAGACACTCGCTCATCGCGCGGAGAGAAGCAGAAACAAAAGGACTGCGGCTATAAATTATAAGCAACGACAACACATCCACAGCGGAATACGCAGCGACGACAGCAACAACAAAAAAAAAAAACAGCAGCGGGAAAAAGGGAAAACGTATGTGCCCGAGAGCTAATTAATTAATTTGTAAGTGTTGCAAGCGCAGGAGGGGACAAAGGCGGCAATAGTGGTTCATTGATCTGAAACTGCATCCCACTCGGGGTTAATTGAAAGGTCAAGAAGCGGGCCAACTGATAAATCAGCCCATTAATAATCGGGCCCGTCGAGCACTCCACTTTCGAGGTGAACTTGAACGGCGCTCCGAATTGGGAACTGGGATATTACCACATACATATTTCCACTTGCTCAACTCTGCGATATGACTGCTCGTATCACTAAGGTCAAGTTCTAGTAACACTTGGACACACGGGGAAGTCCGACTCATAGCCGAAAGTATTTGTTTGCTAATGCAACATAGCCCCGCCCGATCGCCATCATATCTTATCGCTCACGGGGCGCAGGTATTGGGGAAAAAGTGAGCTGATAAGGCTAACAATGCCAAAAAGCTATGGCAATTCGGTGTTGTTTTGGGCGATACTCTCGAATAGACGTCAGTGGAGCGGGAGCTTGGCGAAACTGGTCGGAATCTAAATTTACTCATTATCATAACGTATTGGAAACGGGCTTTGCCAACCAACAGATTGACTCACTCCTGTTTCTTCGGAGAATTTCGATTCGGCGAAGATGGGACTAACCGGCTAACCGGTTCGCTTTATCAGCAGTGGTAAAAGCCCTGTTTATGACCCAGTTGAGAACATCGAGCACACACCCAGACGTGTGCTACATGTCGTATACGTAACGCAACCATTATGATAAAAGAAGCAGGGCAAACTTTCGCGCTGAATGCAACTTCGCATCGATTGCTTTGACCCGAGCACTCCAAACTCGCTTTTATTGATCTAACATTCGAGCGAAATGCGTTCATCGTTATGACAACCCCCAGTAGCCAGTAGCTCCGCCTTCCCCTTCAACCCATCAACCCATCAGCCGGGTTAACCACTCGGCGCTAACCTTAAACTGTCAGCCAGCCGACCTTCAACCCGGGCTAAACATTTGCCCAAAAGAGAAAATGGAAATTGTTTATGGTATTTGCTTAGCAGAAATTATTGTAATCAGATAACACCGGGGCAATGGGGTGTGCGTATTCGGGTATTCATTATACCAGAATATTTGCATGTTCATTTGGCTGGATCTAGCGGCTAATTGCCGCGCATAAAAAGACTGTTAAAAGTGTCCGCCCAGCAATCCCCAGCGATTAGTCAGCAACAACAACAACAGAGTGGTTTAAGTGTTCGGTGTCCGCTGGTAGATATAAAATATATTATATATTTGCAGAAGAGCCTGCCACTCGCCGTATACTTGATACGACTTATCGCGCTTTTGAGCCAGTCATTTCTGCTGATGTCAGAGGAGCAGTTGCCTGGGAGCAGTCAGCATAAGTGCAAGGCACAGCGAAATAAACAACATCTCCATAAACACCGAGATTTGTTTACCCGATTCTGGCACTTGTCTCGCGCCCTAGGTCAACACCATCCATATCTGCTCTATCTAATGTGGAGCACACCTATAGGTGCTGGCTATTCTTAGCACACCAAATATCTGAATATCAACAACAGGCCCCGCAATCCTTTACGGTTATTGCCGACTTGGTATTTACCAGTCTAAAATTAAATTCTAATTGGAGTCTAAACTTACACAAAGCCGTTTATGACGTCCGAGACAGCCAGACAGCAGACCACATGACTTTCTATATCTCGGCCGATCAAAATATCAGGCCCAGGACAGCTGGCTATCGGGGGGCTCAACGAATCTGGAATACTCTCCTCGGGAATAAGGGGATAAGATATGGTTCTGCAAATATTTGCCTCCGATAAGGGGATGTTCTTGCAGTTTTATGTGCCAGTTAGCTGGGCTCTCATGACAAAAAGCCATGTTTTGCACTACAAAGGGTATTCCAAGGGAGAGGGTGAGGGAGGTTTTGGCCAACTTAAGGGCCACTACTGGAGTTGTACTATTTTTTACTACGACTCCCCGCAAGAGCCCCGATTCTTGGCCACTTCCGTTTGCCGTTCCGCCTGCCACACAGAATGTGTGCCACATTCAACCTGTTGGAAAGTGGGAGTGGCAGGCTGCCCGCGATTTCCGTTCGCCCTTTGCACTTGTACTTGGCCTGCTGCTCTATTCCCTGGCTGCTTTATTAGCCCGACCGCTTTATGAAATATTAATTGACCTTTCTCCACCTTGCCTTTGCAGTGATACGTATACAAAGTTCAAAGTGCTACCAGCAAGTGGAACTACATGACAATTAGACGAACAGCGGGAGGCGCCAACAGCAGAAGCAGCAAAAGCAGCAGAAACAGCAAAACCAGCCACAAGATGACAAACTGCCAAAGTTCAGTGTTCGTAGTCGTAGGCACCCTGTTAGCCATTCTGGCCGCGGCTCAAACGGCACCCGTTTCCACCACCACACAGGCAGAGGTGAGTACATGATTAAGTTATTAGCAAACAAAAAGAAATCGAGTTAATAGTTCCCAGTAAATTGCTAAATCGAATCAACGTTCTCCGGTTCATCTATAATTTATATAAAATTCATATAAAATGTTCCCCGCGCTGTGCACAAAATATAAAGCATGCAATCGCAAAAAACAGATAATAACATCTGTATTGAGTATTCAAAGGGAGCTGGGGAATCAGCATTTAAACAGGAAAGGAATATCTTACAAGTGAATCAGAATCAAAATAAGTTTGTTGCACTTGAGGTGACAGTCAATTGCATGATATAGACGCTTTGTCTGCTGCTCCTCGCCCGATTTACACAGTATATAGTTTATATGGCCGCCCTGGAGATTTACTTCCGATTTGCATGACGGGCGTGCCAGGCGCTCAGAGTTCCGAGCAACCTGCTTTTGGAAATTACACTTAATTCAGCACTAGCTGTACATCCAGTACGTGTATCTGTGGAAACATACGAGTATAGGCTATTCCGTATTCACGAATGTGTCTGTGCAACAGGCTGATCGCAACGCGCATCGCATGTCAACGGAATTTTTATTCCACTCACACACTCGGTTTCGGCCCGGCTCAGAGGTTCTGGCCTTAGCCTTAGTCGGATGGCTAAAAAGTGCATGCCCGCCGCCTAATTGCAGTCTGATTATCGCTATCGTTATCGCTCGTGACATTGGCCGGCGGAAAACGTGGCTTTCCACCAGGAAAACTCGCACGCCATCGACTGTCCACCTAATCGATTCAAATGTTTTCCCTTTACCTGAAATAATTCCACTGCAATGGAAAATTGTAATAACAATAATAAACATTGTGTGCTTAGGAGGGAGACCACTCACGTGAGACCACTGATTATCATTATTGCGACCTCAGACATTTATGGAATTTCCCCTGCTTAATTTCTTGTTTGCAGAGCCATTTCTTTACATTCCCAGAGCAGATTGAAAAACATTTGGCATGTAGCGTAACCTCCTGCTCAAGTACTTATCTATGGCACATAGCACTTACTCTATTATTAATTTCTTAAAAATCAATAAAAGAAATTATAATACTGACACCGCCATCTAATTTTAGAAATGATTCGGAAATGCTTTGTCATATCGGAAAACCCCAGAAAAGACTTCTTAACCAATCACTGTCATTACTTATCTGCTTGCATTAGGAATTGCATTAAATTTTTGCCACTAATAATTGGTAATAAAACCGCCACACAAACATTTGTCTTTTAAAATGTATAGCGCGGTTTGAAATGTTGAAAACAAAACATTTAAGATAAGTACAGATAGTTTTTGTCCCACGGAAAAAGTCATCAAAAGCCATTATCTACAGGCAATAAAAATAAATTATTAAGCGATGTACCACAAAAAATGATAACAAAAATTCCCATAAATTATAGCTTGCCATTAATTGAATTATTCCTGCCCGCGAGCAACTCGATTTCCACGCTTTCAATTTATAAATATTTATCTCCGGTTAATTGCTTGTCATGATCGCTGTTAGCCGAATGTAATTTCCATTTACGAATTCAACAAATGCTGGACCATCGGCACGTTTGCACTTGGAGCTATCTACCCGAAGCTAATCACGTTTACTTGCCGCAGACTTGCATAAATTAGTGGGGAAAGGGGGAGGCGGGAGGCGGGCCCAGAACTTCCTGATTAGCCATTTACGATCGGCCGGCTCTCGCAGGTGATATATCCCCCATATGCGAATCGATTTGCTGTGATTCTGGGCACCAGCACGCATTAGCGCGTGCTTAACATTGTTTTTTTTCGGTTTTATTTATGTTTTACGTAACTCGGCGACTTCTAATTGGTATGTTGGCCGCGTTGCCTATAACTTGGCTCGTTGTCGCTGGCCAGTCGCCCCAAAAGCAGCTAAGGCGACAGTCGACCGACGTGTTCGTCTCTCCAATGTCAGGTTCTTTGTTCCCCGATCCCCAGCGCTTTCCAATAAATCTCCCCGCGAATGCAAATCGTGCAGACCACCGATGGAGCGAGGAGGAAATCGTGATTGGATAGATTCCTCCCCGATAAAAGTGCATTTCTTTAATGCGCGTCAATTAATAACCACAAATCTTGGGTGGGATCCAGTGCGATCAGATCGGAGCAGGAAAACCATATCCATTACCCAGTGAGTCACTTCTACAGTCTGGAAAGCGAGTGCCCGCACAAAATGGAGCTGTCAAGAGGTTAATTACTCGCACCAATGAACGAATGAACGAAATTGAAATGAGCTCAGGCATTCGTCATCGCTGTGGGCGAAAACAGAAAATAAAGTCTCGGGCCGGAGAAACTGGCAAAACTTTCCTGGTCTAATTATAACTTAGCCAAAGCGAGAACAGAGCTGGAAACTCCGGAAAAAAGCATTCGTGCGTCAGGCTAATTCGCTCACTAACTCCAACCGGGAAAGCCAATCAATAGCCACTGCAACTCGTTTGCTTTTCGCCATGTTTGATTGATTTGCCTATGGAGCAGTTGCGTGCGACCTTCGAGAGGTGCCAAACAAAAAGCGCAAACAAAAGGCTGCAACAGCCTTGCCTCTTGGCAAACAAGTGATAGTTTTTGCCGCGCCAACATCCTTTCTCCTTTTCCGACTTCCCTGAGGTCATCCAACAGCGCGTCTTGCCATAAACAAGCGCCTAAAAAGGCCAGGAATGGCGGCAGCAGTGAAATCCTTTTTTGCCCGACTTTGCATGAATAGCGCTTTTTATTGTCCGGTTATCTTAGCATCTTGACGCTTATTTATCGCCATGGGAATTAGCCACTTGGAGGCAAGTCGGCAAAAAACGGAGAGACACCTCGTGTGTGGGGAAATGTCAAATATCTTGTGGGAGTTTCCCTTCTAACCGACCACCCACTAAATGTAAATGTCAAGGAATTTGTCTGGGCTGAGTTATGTGTTTCAAACGTGCACTTCTTCATTAGAACCCGAAAGTTTTTGCTGTGCCACAGCCATTATCTAAGCACTTGCCTTTATGTACAAAACTAACCATAATGCAATTTGCTCGGCTCGAAATTCTTTCATTTGAATTCCTCTCTCTCGTCCTGAATTAAATTGAAATCGTTATACAACTTTAAGCCGCATTTAAGACTGCCGTTGGCCCAGTTTCTGTTTCACTTTTCCTTCGGTTTTGGCGTTGGCTTTCGTTATAGTTTTGAGTTTTCTTTTTCAATCCGCGAAATCGGTTCGTTATAGAAACCCAAAAAGAAATGCCGCCAAATGAGGCGCCTGCGCTGCGATTTTCAGCCGAGGTGCGAGGGGCAGTGATGTAATCGCCGTCGAGTTAAAAAGCATTTAAACAAGTTAAGCCTGTTTGCTAGTTGCCAGCGTGATTGGACAACTGAAACTGCATGCGCAATTGCTGTGGGAAAATCGCAGGGAAAACCTTTGCTATTTGCCTTTAATTGTCGCAGACACTTTCGCTTATGCACGTGCCTGGCAAATATTTGTGCAACTAGGTCTAGGTTTGTTTGCTGGTAATTTGCGGGGAAATATCCCCGGTGAAGCTCAAGAAAGTCAACGACCGAAGTGACCCACTTTCCGAGCGTAAACTAACCACGCACCCCCGAAAAACGCAGGACGAAACCCCAGGAGTTCTCCCACTCCCGCCGGGCAATAAGTTTCCCATCAATTTCAGCCGGGCACGTCGGCAAATGTATACGAAAGTATACACAAAACGATACTTGTTTATAATTTATGCATGTCCTGTTCTTGTTTCGACCGGAAATAAACGGGGCGGGGCCCGCCCTCAGTTTAAACGGACAAAAGTTCATTGACTTTTAAGGAGCTCCTTCGCTTCTTTTCGCCGGACTGCAGAGCTATTTGCCCCTCGAAATCCAATCAGTCGGCCACTGGCAACTTTGCACCTGTGCAAATTGTGTTAAATATTTGAAGGTTGCATTGCGATTGTAGCATACTTGGCGGGGCTCACACCCACAACCACACACTCTTACACACACACGTGCAAGGCAAGTTTGGTTCTAAACTTTTGCTTTGGCCCGCAAAGCCCCGTGGGCCACTTCCTGCAAGTTCAACTCCTTCTGCCAAGTAAACCAGGCAAGCAGGTCATCAAGCTGAGTAGATTTTTTGCTTTGCCAAGTTCCTACCCTTGTTACACAAAGAAAAATAAAGAGGTTCACGCCTGAATAAAATATCTAAAGTGTATATATAAATTAAAGCCTTCCTTTGTTTAGATGTTGGTGTGATTAAAGTTCAACTGGAGAGGGTGAAAAGCGTATTGTTTCCACCCTTTCCTGCTTTTTAAGCTGCAGAACATTTCACGGGGCACCCGTAGTTAATAATACAGCGAAATAAGTGGGGTGCTGGGCGTGGCGAAAGCCATTCTTTGTTGACATTTCTGTTTTGATTGTCCGCCAAACAGCGCAGCGCAGAAAAATGTGTGTCAATGTCCAATAATAAATTGAAGTGCAATTTGAACGCCCTCTGAGTCGTGACCCGACTGCTGGCCTCCACTCCCCGGAGTCCGTGTAATTTCGAGTGATTTGCATGGCCACGGAGCATCTAATCGCATGCAAATGCACAAGTATCTCAGTATACATGTTTTGGGCTTAACAGTCGCAATAGAATCGCAGAACGATGACTCCCGAAAAGCGAGTGTGAAAACGCTGAATTGGTGGACAAACATTTCCGCTTCGGAGCCGACTTCCGTTCGCCTTGTGACGCATTGCCTTGTCGAATGGGACAAATGCGTCAGAAATGACTCAATTATGGACAAGTTGAGTAGGCCTTTGTTTGCCGCCAATGCGGGGCTATCTTATCGATGGGAGATAGCCGAAAGAGCTCTTGTTTGAGGCCCCAAACAATGCATTCGATTGCCGTCAGTCTGTTTGTTCTATGACAGTGCATTACAATCGCAGTCCCAAGAAAACTGGCATAACACCTACCCAGCGGCTCTGGGCAATCAAGGGGTTCGTGCCTCGGCATTGTGCACTGCGAGTAATTATGTTAGTTGCACAAAGAGGCATTCCCGAGGTCGCCGATGACTCACATCGACTGTCAGTCAAAGTGCTCTGGGCCTGGACTCGAGTGGATCTCTGCGGAGATGAGCGACAGATGCCCGCCACTCGAGCCACGCTTTGTTTACAGTTCGTTTACCTTTGGAGAAGAGCCAGCTGATCGCTGGTAAAGAAAACATAAAACAAACCCACCCAGAAAAAGATCACAGAGCCACTGGAAGAGCCCCGAAGACGCGACTCGAATACGTAAGGCGGCAGCGAAATGTTTACTTCCTCGCAGGCGGAAAGAACACAATAAAATTAACAGTCAGCTGGCATTATGCAAGATTCGGCAAATCATTATACAACTATATAATGCTGTGAGTGCGGCGTCATTAAGAATGTGCGACACATAAACGGCTGACGAACCTGATCCACATGCCAAATCGAGTCGATTTCGCCTGCCGAAACGCCAAGCGCATAAACTCTAGCCGCTGTAAGACAATTTGCCGTTGTAATTGGCCAGACAACAAAGTGTACATGGCCGCTGAGCACTAACTGTTAAGATAACCTCGCATTGTTCTCTGCGGCACTGCACTTCCCTGATTCCACTCGATTGCTCAATGCTACAATGTTACAATGTTACAATTCACAACTTACGATTTACAATTTACAATTTACAATTTCCAATCTACAATTTACAATTAGCAATCGCAGCGCTTCCTTAATGCTGGCGATGCTCGTCGGAGATCGATTAAGAGATTTCACACCTCAACCAGTCACGTCTAATGAACATTATACGGGCATGGGTATGGACATGGGCAGGGGTTCGGGTTCGGGTTCGGGAACTACACATCAAGCATACGCAGTGGGGCCCGCCTCCCAGGGGCCTATTTATATAAGTTATAAGCCAGTGTGGCAGTCATAAATTATGCAAGTCAGCTAGAAAGGCAGCGGAGGAGCGGCCAGGACATGCTGCTGCCGGACAATCTGATGGCCATAAATCAAGTTGCCCACGACGGGTGGCGCAGCTCATTGATCTTGGGGAAAAGCTGTCCAACAGTCATTCAACTTTTTTGTTGTTTTTCCTCCTGCTTTCAGATCTACCTCTCCCAGTTCGGATACCTGCCCGCCTCTGCCCGGAATCCCGCGAGCAGTGGCCTCCTCGACCAGGAGACCTGGGTGGGCGCCATCCAGGAGTTCCAGAGCTTCGCCGGCCTGAACATCACCGGCGAGCTGGACGCGGAGACCCTCAAGACGATGTCCCTGCCGCGCTGCGGAGTGCGGGATCGCGTCGGCACTGGCGACAGCCGCTCGAAGCGGTACGCCCTGCAGGGCAGCCGCTGGCGCGTCAAGAACCTCACCTACAAGATCTCCAAGTACCCCAAGCGCCTGAAGCCCGCCGATGTGAACGCCGAGATCGCCCGCGCCTTCGCCGTGTGGTCCGAGGACACCGACCTGACCTTCACCAGGAAGACCTCCGGACCCGTGCACATCGAGATCAAGTGAGTGCTTGCAGAAACAGTAATAAAAACTAAGGTTTAGAAAACTCATATCACATCTGTAGCTCCAGTCAAATTAATTTATACCATTTATAAAGTATTACCATAAACTTTATTTTTGCTTTTCATTCTCATTAACGCTCGTAAAAAGGGATTACCATTTTGTACTTTCCACTTTCCGAATTATTTTAGTATTGTAGTTAGTTTTATAACAGTTCCCTTACTTACCCACCTAATCCTATTTCCCAGATTCGTGGAGAGCGAGCACGGTGATGGCGACGCCTTCGACGGACAAGGCGGCACTCTGGCCCACGCCTTCTTCCCCGTTTTCGGCGGAGACGCCCACTTTGACGATGCGGAGCTGTGGACCATCGGCTCGCCCAGGGGCACCAACCTGTTCCAGGTGGCTGCCCACGAGTTCGGCCACTCCCTGGGTCTCTCCCACTCCGACCAGAGCTCGGCGCTGATGAGCGCCTTCTACCGCGGCTTCGAGCCGGTCTTCAAGCTGGACGAGGACGACAAGGCGGCCATCCAGTCGCTGTACGGCCGGAAGACCAATCAGCTGAAGCCCACCAACGTGTACCCGGCGCCCACACAGAAGCCATTCAGCCCGCCGAAGACGCCACTGGACGACTTCATCTGCAAGGACTCCAAGATAGACACGCTCTTCAACTCGGCGCAGGGCGAGACGTTCGCCTTCAAGGGCGACAAGTACTACAAGCTGACCACCGACTCCGTGGAGGAGGGCTACCCGCAGCTCATCTCCAAGGGCTGGCCGGGATTGCCCGGCAACATCGATGCGGCGTTCACGTACAAGAACGGCAAGACGTACTTCTTCAAGGGCACCCAGTACTGGCGCTACCAGGGCCGCCAGATGGACGGCGTCTACCCGAAGGAGATCAGCGAAGGATTCACCGGCATCCCCGACCACCTGGACGCCGCGATGGTCTGGGGCGGCAACGGCAAGATCTACTTCTTCAAGGGCAGCAAGTTCTGGCGCTTCGACCCGGCCAAGAGGCCCCCGGTGAAGGCCAGCTACCCCAAGCCGATTTCCAACTGGGAGGGAGTGCCCAACAACCTGGACGCTGCTCTGAGGTACACCAATGGGTACACGTACTTCTTCAAGGGCGACAAGTACTACCGGTTCCACGATGCCCGGTTTGCTGTAAGTACAAATAGAAGAGACCACCTAAAAATGTATCCAAAAGTATGCTTCAGAATAAATAGTAAACTCAAGTTGTAGCATACTTTAAATAATCTTTTAGAGCGGTTTGAAACCTCTAGAAACATTTTAATAATGTAATATCCTTAATTCTAACAGGTGGACTCGGCCACGCCCCCCTTTCCCAGACCCACCGCCCACTGGTGGTTCGGCTGCAAGAACACGCCCTCTTCCACAGGTAATTTCGTCGAGGGTTCGGAGAACGAGTTCGAACAGCACTCGATGATCCCGCACGCCGACGATGGTAATGGTGACGACTTCGACGCAGGTGAGTGGGACCGACTCGGCGGTAGTTTTGTTTGAGATCGGAGCGATCGAGTGGATCCACCATCCAGCCATCGAATCCCGAACTCAGAAAGTCAAAAAGATCTCATAGGAAGAAGTCTTGTATGAGTTGTTACTTAGCGAGAAGCAGTTGCGAGTCATGAAACGATAATAATTTTAATTCCTATCTTTATATGGTATGTTTAATTAAGTTAATGTCTGTGTAGTTAAATTCTATTACTCGAGTCGAATGTGTTTGTCTTTATTGCCTATGGAAGAAATACATTTACAATAACTATTGAAAAAACTAATAGAAACTGTGTGTGTCCAATGTCTTTTGCCCACTCTATACATATATATTTCGTATTTATTGTATGATTATTAATTGCTCTTTACTCTTGATTTTGTGGTGTTTTACTTTAGTTTTGTTTCAGTGCTTTCTGGCTGAGCTTTACTCGGCTTAAAACATTTTTATTTCCAGTGTATGTACGTCATATCTAACACCTTCAAAAAAAAAAAAAAAATCAATATAACTAATACCTTATTTTTAATTAACACTTTTTAACAAAGCGATACTAACTCCGAAACTAAACCAACTTGCAAACTTTTCACCTTCTAATATCTGTTTATTCCATTAACCCGACTTATCCCTTCTGTGTGTATTCTTTCTGTGCTTTGGTAACCTAAACTCTATTTTACTAACTAACTCAATTTAGCATACCATGTACAAAAAGTTTTGAGGCTAAGAAACAACTATTAATTAAAACGCGAAAAATAATTTAATATCTTGCTTACAGTTCAATAGACTATAAAAAATTTAAAACAATTATCTGCAGCAACAACAACAGCAACAAAAACTACTGGTCAGTCGGTCTCACTAACTGTGGTCCAAGATCCACTCCACCAGAAACCATCTTCCTAGCTTATAAGCCACGATCCTAGCATGCGCACAATCTAACCAACTAACTAACATGCCAATATGTAGCATCTGCAACTAGTTACTAACTCGCTAACCCCAAGAAAACAAACACTACTTGTTAAACACCACAGGTCCTAAAAATGGAAACCCTTCCCAAAAAAAAAAAAAATGAGAACACCCTTGGTCTAAGTGTAGTTGCGAAGCACTAAGTATTTATCTAGATATGGTACTATTAATATTCGATTTTCCACTCCCCTGAACTAAACTCTTTACCCTGTAGTCGAAAAACTCGATGCGTAACCGTTTCCTTGTTTTGGCACCCTCGGCACAAAATTCCAAATGGCTAAATGGCTGGGTTGAGCCACCCGCACACACCACCCACTACCCCAAACCACCTAGTAAACTCCCCCAAACACTTACTATCGAAAACCCACCCACACCTTAACTGCATGAACAAACCGAAAACGTACTAATCTAGAGCAAACAAGAGATTTACACCTGCATGGTAAGGAAAGTCGGCGGGAATTACAAATACCCCGGTGTATATGTGATCCACACATCCCGTTATGACCCACAATCGGATGTGGATGTATTTGTATGACACTCGCTTAACAATCGCATGCACGTGCCTGGCCCATAATCGTTTAATTTGCATTCGACAAAAGCCCAAAAACCGAACTCCGCAACACGAAATTCGTCATTGTCATCTGTATGTATTTGTGTATGTATATTTCTTGCAGGCTTTAAGAGACGCGGATATAAAAACAAGAACAATTAACCACAGCACACATCCAGAAAACCACGACAACAACCAAGCCGATCCACCAACTCCATTTAAAATCCACCCACACACACAAAGACACATGGCGCAGAAGAATTACAAAGACAATGTGCCGCCCTCATAAAACAAGTAGAATTCTTCCCACTGCTGACCACTGTCTTTCCTCCTCCGCCTTTCTCTTTTTTGTGCCTTGTGTGTCTGTAGTTGTAGTCGCCACGCTGATTCTTCCTGCTCTCCCGTATTATCATCTGGTTCTTAGACTGCTAGATCTTATCGCATTATCGCACTACAGCACATCCCGCCTTCCCCAAAACGCAATTTATGCTCCCCAAAGAACTGTTTTATTTACGCTTTCTGTTCTCTACTTTTGTTTCTTTTAAACGAAACGATATTACTTTTCGGTTGTTATACATCCACCCGATATATAGCACCGCAAGTGCCGAGCCGGGGTATTCTTCCCGGCTGGATGTGGGGCCTAACGAACTCATTGTTCTAGAGGACCGAGTGTTGTAGCCAGTCCCGTTGTAATTTGCCAGCATTAGTGTTTATCCACCGCCCGCTTGAGTGATCTCTGTCTGAGTAAAGTAAACCATCAAATCGAAACACATATTAAACATGCCACGCCCACAAGAACTGCGCCGCCTGCCGAAACGCCAAGCCAAGCCAAATAGAAAGAAACGAGTTTACAGAGTGAAGAGTATGTTCCATCAATTATTTTTATTTTTTGACCCCCCCTATAAGTTACTTAAGTTACATTTATTTATTTTCCCCTTTTAAAACTCCCAGCAATCACGCTTTGAAAACAAACTTATTCCTATAGCTTATATCTAAGACTCTTCTGCACCGAACATTCCTCCCTTAAACAAAACCACTTATAAATAACTAACATGATATTTTAAAATCCCTATTTAGCCGTGGGAGACCACCAGTCGAACGACGAGCCTGCTGTACCAGAAGTTGCCGAGCGAACCGGAAATGGAGCCTTGTCGCAATCGAAACTTACAAGCAGCTCCGCGGTTGGCACTGTGATCACCACCATCCTGATGTGCCTCGTCTCCAAACTTATCGTTAGCTAAAAGAGCCTCTGATCCCAGCGATCTATCTATTGGCAGTGCATTTCGTGAAAATAGGAACAAAGCTAACAACTTGAGTAAAGTTTATGAAATTTTACCGCCAGTTGAAATTCAAATGCGTAACATCATATCGAATACGATGAGAGGAAATCCAAGCAAAATAAAAACAAAAATACAAATTGAAATCGAACAGAATATCAATTGTAAATTGAGCGATCAGCATGTGAAACAGGTGCCTTATCAAATACTTTTGTTGTTGTGTAAATAAAATCAGCCTTAAATATAAAGAAATAGTTTATAACATTCCGCATTCTAACGACAAAACCGATCAGAAGTCATAGCAGAAATTCTTTATGTAGTCAACTGTTTTGGTAATGACAAATTGCGATATTAAATTTAACGAGCCATATGCAATAAATTGGAGAGAACCAAACAGAAGTTAAATACTGAACATTGAACGTACTTTAGTTTAGAAATAATTGTTAATGTGTGCACATGGGACATGAACTTCCGAGTTCCTACAGCCGTGCAACGATTTCGCTACTGTAAATGTTTTAAGTTTTGTGAACGATAATTGACTTGACCACGTATAAACTAATATAAAATCATCAGCGAGTACATATGATTATTATATAAGTGATATTTAAGACAGTCCCTTAAGCGATATTTGTTCGGGTTTAATATTTAAAACCGAAATATTATTTAACTTACGTATTATTATGTGTAATTTTATTTTATATACCATAAATGTACGCTGAAACGAAAGAAACTGAACAAAACGAAAAGAAATAAACTACCAGAAATACCAAAAAAGAAAGATAACTTATTATTTTAGGAGTCGCCTACGACGAGTAATTTGGTAGACAACTTAAGGATCGGGATCGCATTCTAGTTGAGCGTAGAGCTCCTCGAGTCTGTCGTCCTTCTCCGGCGAGGTCCGTAGAACCTCGTTCTTGTCAGCAGTCTGCTTGGCACTCTTGCGTCGTCTGAAGGGACCTGAAAACGGCCAGCCGAAACAGGGTGCTAAGTAAGATACAGGTAAGGACATGAGGCTAGAAATCCCAGGATTCGGGTTTTATCGTACTTTTATCTCTCTTTCGGTTGCCGTCTGGAAGTGGCGAGGTAGGCTTAGCAGCCATCACGGGAACCGGGCTGCCACTATCGGGGATTCCCAAGTAGGCACATTCCGTCTTGATGTCCCGCATTATGTGGACCGCGTTGGATCCTAGTATACAAGATGATGGATTCACGCACGGCTCTAATTTAGCCGTGAAATCGGGAATGAATGAGTCTGCAAATGAAATTGTTTTAAAATTCGTTATTTTCAACGATTCGTTACTAAACTGTCAACCCTAAAAACTGAATAGGAAAAAGTTGATTTGGACATACCTCCCAAATTGTTCTGCATGAGCTGCAAGTTCTTTATAATGGCGCCGTACTCGGCCATCTGGAGCTTGAGCTTCTGTATTTCCTTCTCCTGCTCGGTCATCTTGTTCTTTCGGCGCCTCTTGCCTTTGCCATCACCACTGGAATCTGAGTTGTCACTGTCGCTAATGAGGATCGACTCCACGGGCGGTGGAGTTACGACCTTGCAGTCGGTGTTATCGTCGTCAGCGCTCGGCGAGGAAACCTGGTAGGAGCCCGTGCACTGCACTGTGGGCAAGCCGGCGCGCTTGCGCAGGCGGCGGTAGCGGACTGTGAGTGTGCGACTGTTAAGTGGAGAGTTCACCAACTCCTTGAAAGCCTCTGCGGTCTGGTCAGGCGAGGCGTAGCGCACGAAGGCGTAGCGAGCGCGCTTCTCGCGCTTCAGCACTCCGATATCAACGCGCATGGCGTTGGCAAAGTAGGCCTTGATGGCCGAGGTGGTCATGTTGAAGGGTATGTTGCTCACGTACAGCGAGCAGGGGTCTATGAACTCGGCCTGTTCCTCGTCGGAAAACGGCTTGTGCTCCGCCTGCAGGAATCCGGTGCCAAAACGCACCTTGTTGATTTCCCGAATGGTGGCATCGATGTCGACACCGGCTTTTAGCTTCGCCAGGCAGTAGCGCGGTGCCACGCTGGTGGGCAGCACAACGTCGCGAATATCCTTCGACAAACCGGCCAGCATGGGAGCCGAGATCTCTGGGTCGGGAAAGCGGATGATCAGCACCACGGACTCGGGTGTCTGACCCGACCTGTTTGTCAGCTCGCGCTCCAGGGCCAGAGCCTTTAGGGTGTGCTCGCGACGGTGCTTGGCCACCTCCCGGCGAGACATCTTTGTGGTTTCAGCTGAAGGGAATTAACAATATATGTTACAATTGGGGCTCCAACTCAAATCAGTCAATAACAGCTTACGCTTTTTGTTAATTTCGCTTTTTTCCAGCTCCGCATCGTTCTCGGAAGTCGGCCCCTCCGCTAAAGACTTACACGGAAGCAGTAGGCTCCCGGCAGGAGTCGCCTCGAACAAAAAGGCTTCTAGCGAGGGAGTGCATCCGTTGCCCGTGTAGGGCACCACATGTTTACCCAGATTCAACTGGCTTCCATCGCCCGGCGATGGAACCTTGGGCATATCCCGATCCGCGACGATGTCCATGCGTTTTTGGTCCGGACCGTCGCCGGTTTCCATAGCCGCGCGTTTCGAATCCATTTTGTAAGTAATGTTATCAAAAATATAAATAATAACCGGCCTATCGATTGTGTTCCTAGCTAAAATTGTGGAAAAAACACTATTTTTACTGGATGTGTTTCTAGCAGAGCTTGTGGACTGTAACTGATAAAAACCCCGAGTGTCGAATTGGTGTACAACAGCTGACAAACGGCCGACTGGGGTTCAACAATTCCATTTTAGAATGTATTACTACAATAACAAAAACGGAAATTTTGGAACTTTAAACTGAAAAATTTCAGAAAGAGTTATATTTCGTATACAACTATAGTGTTTCTCTAATTTTCATTTTACTGAAACAATCAGGCAACGTTGGCACTCAGCTGATATTGTTGCCAGACTTTTCGCCCAACTCATAACACCAAAACAAAATGTGTGCGGCTCTTTTGCGATCTATCAAATTGGGTAATTTGAGGCCAATCACGGCGTTATCGCACTACCAGAGTGTACAGTAAGTTTAACTTAAGTTACTTTGAAAGTTATTTTTATAGTTACATTCTTATTTTTTTCAGCACGAGCACTTTACTCTGCAAGTGGCGGAATGTTGGTTCCGGCGAAGTGGAGAGAAAACTTTTGTCCGGCGACAGGCTTCCAGATAACTATAAACTGATCTACCGCGCCCCAATCGAGAGTTATGTGACCTGGACGAAGAATGTTTCTACGGCCACCACTTCTATTTTGGGATTGGTGGCCGCCTATCATTGGGCAACGACCATGAAATTCGTAAATATGGTCCAGAAAATGGACATAGCCATTCTGGTGTCCCAGGAATCTGACCTGTACTACTTCCTAACGGGATTTATTCTAATCAACCTGGCGATACGAACTTTTGTTGCCAAATATCCCTTAAGGATCTACAAGAGTTCGGAAAAGTATGTTTGAAAATGCTTAAACCTATTCAACTTACTTTTTATATCAATCCTAATTTTTTTTAGGTATGTTGCTGTCTATGGCTCCCAGCTGCCTCTCGGAACTGTGAAACACTATTTCGAAAAAGGACAAATAGCTGAATACAAAAATTTTTTAAATCCTTGGAGCCATATTATGTATAAACTCGGGAGCCGCTCCTCGATGCTGCTAGTTGACTACTTCAAGACGCCGTCAGAGTTTCATCAGTTGTTTGAGAGCAAAGAAGCGTTTTAGCTTTTAGTTCATTATTAATTGTTATTTAAATAAATGTTTGTAGAATTACACTTTCTTGAGCAATGTTTTGTAAACAAACGGACAGAGTTACCAGAGTGTGAGCTCCCGGCCAATCAGTGTTGGTAAATGTGTAAATTATTTTAACACCAAAACAATTCAATTTCCACGTGCAGCATGGAACTTAAAAAAATGAAACCTCTAACGGATGATACGGAGGAATCTCCTACAGAATTGGCCGGCAAGAAGCGCCGGAACCCTTTCAATACACAGCGCCTGAAGGAGGAAAAGGAACGCCGCCAGAAGAAAAGGGCACGACTAATCGTCCGAAACATCAGCTACAAATCTACAGAGGATTCCTTGCGGGAACACTTTTCGCAGTGGGGCGCGCTGGAGGATGTGCATATCCTGAAACGCGGTGACGGCAAGCTAGTGGGCTGTGCCTTTGTCCAGTATGAAACCATCAACCAGGCCACCAAGGCGATCCTGAAGTCTAATGGCAAGGAGCTAATGGGACGGAAAATATTTGTGGATTGGGCCCTCGGTAAGGATGAGTACGTGGCCAAAAACCCCAAGGAGGAGGAGCCGGAGGAGAAAAAGCCGAAAGTTGAGTTAAACGAGGAGAGTGACGACGAAAAGGAAGTAAAAGAGGAAAGCGACGAGGAAAATGGTGAGGAAGAGGGCGATTCCGAGGTGGGTTCTGATGCAGAATCGAATGATGATGAGGAAGAGTCTGAGGGTAAGGACGATGACGACGACGAGGATAAAAAGGAAGACAAAGACGAATTAAAATCAAAATTAAACATTGAAAATATCAAAAAGGAGAAACAGATTTCCAATGACGTACAAGAAGGTTGCACGGTGTTCATTAAGAACGTGCCCTTTGATGCCGAGGATTCGGATCTGCGAAAGGTGTGCAGAAAGTTCGGATTGGTCAGTTATGCCATTATCAATCGCCAGGCGGTTTCTGGTCACTCCAAAGGCACGGCCTTTGTTAAATTCAAGGCTAAGGAGTCGGCCGATCTGTGCCTTCAGGCTGGCACGGAGTTTAAGCTAATGGATGAAGTTCTGGACCCCCACCCGGCCTTAAGTCGTGATGAAATGAAGTCTAAGCAGGAGCAGAACAACAAAAGGAAGATGCCAAGGACTCTAGAAACCTGTACTTGGCGAGAGAAGGTCTGATCATGGCTGGAGCAAAGGCAGCTGACGGAGTTTCCGCATCAGATATGGCCAAGCGCCATGAACTGGAGCAGGTGAAAACTCAGGTTTTAAAGAACTTAAATCGGTAAGAGTGGAACAATTCTTCACTGGTCAAACTCTTTTCTAAACTTCTTTCTTCTAGGTTTGTTTCCCGCAACCGCTTGTCTATCCACAATCTTCCTTTAAACTATGACAACGAAAAGCTTAAACAAATGGCGCTGACATACACTGGTTTTCGGCCCCACGAATGCCGAGTGATGAGGGAACAAAAGGTTACCCCGGAGCATCCGCAGGGAAAGTCCAAGGGCTTTGGTTTCCTCTCCTTTGACACGCATCAGAGGGCTCTTACTGCCCTGCGGAAATTGAACAACAACCCGAATATTTTTGGAACACAGCACGTAAGATATTTTTGATCTATTAATTAAATTCTGGCTATAATATTTTATGTTCTGTAGCGTCCTATTGTGGCCTTTAGTATAGAGGATCGCGCCGTTCACAAAATCAAAGAGAAACGGACGGAGCGCTCCAAGTTAAATAATCCCACCTACCAGAGCAAGCAGCAGGAACGCAAGGAGCGCCGCCAGCAGAAACGCAATGGCCAAAAGACCAAACCGCCGGGTCCCCAGACCGACAATAAAGCTAAGCTGCAGAAACACATAAAGAAATTGGAGGCATCGCGCGCAGCCAAGATGGAGGGCAAAGCCAAAGAGGAGAAGCAGCTTAGCGACCTCCAGAGCGACTATGTGGGCACGGCTGCCAAACCGGGTACGGCGCTCAAGATGCGCTCCAAAAAGAAGATAATCGAGCAAGCCAAAGAGCATTTGAAGAAGGTAAAGACCGAAAAGCGCAAGCAGAAGAACAAGAAAATTCGGGAATCGCATCTGGCAGAGCGCAAGGCCAATAATCGACCCAAGCAGGGACGCAAGAAGGAAATGGATGACCTGCGACCCCTAATTAATAAGTACAAGAACATGATTAGTGGGAATCAAGGCGGTGGCGGTGTCAAGGGTGTCACGGGAGGTAAAATTAAGAAGCCCAAGCGTACCAAGTGGTACACAGAGTAAAGTTTCCCTGTCTAGCTTAAGAAATGTCGTTTTAGCAATAAAACTGTAAATGAGAAAAACAATCCAGGTTTTACCAGGTAAAAGGGGACCTTTTTCTAGGACTGCAGATTGGGAACATCTGTCTAAGTTATGATTCTACCTGCAAAGTCGGGTATATATAGTCGGTGGCGTGGACAAGCTCTTCAGTATTGCCTAGCAGTGCCTGTGAAGCGTTTCGTTCGCCCTAAACAGAAGATATCTCAAAGATGGCTCCTCGAGAGAAAGTTGAATTCGTTCTAGTTCGCCTGGCGTATGTGCCATACATGTAAGTAATTAGCAGGAGTTAAATTTTTAAAGGTACTAATTTGAAACCTCTTTCTCAGACATCCCCTGTACCCGCGAATTAGCTACCAGATCAGAAAGCATCCTCCCACAGGGTCGATTATCCAAGTGCGCGATTGGTTCGAGCACGTGATGATGAGGGAGCGTTCGAAGCTTCCTCCAGATGTCAATATACGCTACGCCGAGTGGCGTATCATCACTGGCGACGTGGAGCTGTTTCAGGTGCAGGGCTGCCGGTTCGACAAGATCATGCTGGTGCTCGGCGAGGAGAACATATCGTGGGTGTTCTACCAGAACATGCCGCTGCACCGACGTATCGAGGGTTGCGCCTGCTTTCCCGTCAGCTATTGCGGCTGCTGCCTGAACAACCAGTACCTGGACATTATGGCCAAAATCAAGCAAACTGTGTCAAGGAAGAAGATACGTTAAAATAAATACATTTGAGTACTAATGGAAACAAGAGTTTATATTAAGATGAACGCTTTCAAATTTCACTAGGCGCTAGCTGCTGTCTATTCCAGCCAGTGGAAGCGGGAACCGTACTTGGCTGGCGGCTTGGGATAGTCCTCGGGTAGACCGGGAGTGGCATCGGGATATGAGACCTTCTCCTCCTTTTTGGGAGCTTCGCGAGCCGACTGGATGACCTGTGGGTAGAAACGTTTAGCAAAGGTCTTGAAAAATCTAACTACAAACTCACCTTGGCACGCGAGAAGTAACCGTAGGAAGGACGATCCCAGTCAAAGTTGTCCTTGATGCACTTGTCGAACACTCCCTGCGTCTTGCGGCAGCTAATATAGGGGTTTAACTTGGCTTAAAGTTCTTGAATTCAATGTTGAATCAAAAATACTTACTGCGCGAATGCCATGGTTCCGCTGCTTTTATCGAGGCAAGTGGCATACTGCATGAACTCTTCATGGCAGGTCTTCTTCACTTTGCGGAAAAAGTCCAGGGCGCAGCTGGTCACCGCCTTGCCCTCCGCCAAACAGGCCCGCGGGTCGTCCAGCTCTTGCCGGCATAGCATAAACTCCTGAAATTTCACAGAAAACAAACGTAAACAAACCAATCCAGATGAGTTTTGAGGTTAGGTTATATAACTTAAGCGCAACAATTTGGGACTTTAAACTGCTGCAGGCTTAACTTTAAGGCATTTCTCTGATGGGGAATACTACCAAGAGTATTTAATCCAAATCTGAAAGAACTAACATTATTGGCCTGCTCGCATTGTTTGCCCAAATGAAAGGCACCCGCACGAAGAGCCGCCGAGGAAAGATTCAGCTCTTGGACATCCAGCTCGGACTCCTCGGGCAGTGTTGTGTTGTTGGTGATGACCATTATAGCCTCGTTCTCCTTTTCGTTCTATCAAAAACCTGCAAGGGGTGTAGAAACCAATAAAAACCCAAAATATTATAATTTATGTGGTCAAATTTACGTTTGCCTACAACACAACAGCTGTTTTTGTTTCAGGGCTGCACGAGCGCAGCTGTCAGTCTGACTTACCGATAGCCCAAATGATTTACAAAGTAATCGATAGCACGTCCTCAATTTAAAATTTAAACAATCTAGCTCCGAAAATGATTTATTTTATTTTGTATTCGCTTCTTTGTTATACTGCTGCAGCGGGGCGTAATTTAAAAGTAGTTAAGTACGAGGACTCGGTTGACACCATCGTAAAGGATCTCATAGACAATTGGCAGTCGCCACTTGTTTACCTGAAAAGTCGCGGTTACCTGCCAAAGGACTTGCAGAATTCTCCCGAATTGGATTTTCAGCAGCTGCAGGGTAATTTAATACCGAACTTTTCCTTAAAGGATTCCAAACGGGAGGTGGAAAGTACAGCCGAGGCAAAAGCAAATTCAAAATCGGATCAGAGGGATGTGCGTTCGGCTCAAGATCTGAAAGAACTCGAATTAAAGCGGATGTTCCAATCGCTATTCTCCTCAAACGACATCTCGGCCTCCGAAGAGATTAAATCCAAGCTGGGTGTGTCTTGGGACATGAACGCGCTGAAATCATCCGCTCGGTTGGGTGCCAAGAAATATTTCGAGAAGCTGAACAATAAACGAAATCAGGCGGTATCTTTCCTTCCCAATGAAACTCCAAGTAGTCCAGTTTCTGGAGAAGTATTTCAGAATTTCCACGCTCCGATATCCCTTAACTTGGAGAAAAAAGACAACGAAACGATAGAGAAGGCCTCGTACGATACTAAACCAAGCTACCTTAAGGGCGTGGCCAAGATTCTGAGCAACCCAGAGATCAGGTATAAGGATTGGGAACCGAAGCCTGCCCAAGAATCCTTTTTCAAGGCCACAGGAAAAGTGAATTGAAATTTGTAAATGTTAATTAAATGTTCTTGTAGTTCCGAAATGGGTTAACCAACGCACAATTAATTAGTTGAGGGAGGGAGGCCTGTTTATGCCAGAAGCAGACGCGATTGAGCCGCCGCAAAATTTGATATTCATGGCTGTCTGGTTAATCTCAGTCATTAGCAGATGCGATTGAAACCCGTTTAGTGGGCTAGGCAACTTTGATGTAGTATAAAAGCCCGCTGACCATTGTTTCACATTAAGTATATGCTCTAAAATGCTGAAATACGTGAGTTCAATCTGTCGGACAAGTGGGATATACTAATTCAAACATTTTCAACTTTAGGCTGTTATCTTTGCCCTGCTTGTGGTTTTGGCCAGCTGCAGTGAGGAGGACTTCCATGCGCAGCTTCTGAAGTCTGAGAACCGACAGAACTTGGACGGCGCTGGGCAGTTCCAGCATGAGATCGCCGTTGACAATGGCATCCAAGTGAAAGCCCACGGAGATGTGAACGGCATACAGGGCGAATACTTTCTGCCGGGCGAAGATGGCAAGCAGATCCGGGTGACTTATACGGCAGATGCGAACGGCTTTCATCCGAAGGTCGAGGAGTGATCACGCGGCCTTGACTATATAGTATATATATGTATATTTACCAAACGGCTGTTTGTCATAAAGCGAGCGATGAGTGGAGCTTTGTTGTTGCAATTAAACGTTTAAGGCTTTGATGCACATAATTTATAACTTCGAGGCAGAACGGGGACTCATTAGCCAGTTCCACACTTGTAACAGGTTACACAGGAATCCTTACATATTTGGGAGCGGGTATTTAAGACCTTGGCCTGTTTTCACTGATCACAGTTGCTTGTGCGTTTACAGAATGTTCCAATACGTAAGTTAGTTTTGGGTTTCTGCAGGAAGATTATCCTCATAAGGTTGTGCTTTCCAGCTGACCCTTATCTTGCTAATTGGGGCGTGCGTCGCCAACGATGACGACGCCCACGCAAGGGTGGCAAATCAGTACAAAAAGGAGGATGGACACGGCAAGTTTGCCTATGGCTTTGACATAACCAACGGCATTGGAGTCGGAGAGGCTGGTAATGAACACCAGGTGCACGGGGAGTACCACTTCAAATCAAAGGAGGGACAGCCCGTGAAGATTTCCTATACCGCCGATGAGAATGGCTATCATCCGCACGGGGATCTTCTGCCCACACCTCCGCCCACTCCAGCGGCGATCCTTAAGGCGCTGGCTTACATTGATTCCCATTCGCACAGGGATCAGCACTCGCAGCCACGACCAGTGCATCCAACAGTCCGCCCGCATGGACATCGACTTCACTAAGCCCTTGAATGACTCATATTCCGCCCAATGCGTCGCTGATTTCCTACTGCCACTCCCTGATGTTCGAATAAAAGGTTACGACGCAACACTCAGCCTTACATTCAATGGGGGGTGTCGGGTGTTCATAAAATACGCATTGTCATCGGCATAATAAGGACCCCGGCGGAAATGGGCCAGTGGGCAGGGAACAACTCGCCGGAAGGGAGGCCATTCGAGGCTATTGTTAAATGGCAAATTCAAATATGGACTCACCCATTGTGCGGGGCCATTGGAATATGTTACGGAAATGACAACTTAAATGGGTGCTGCTCCCATTTTGCCCATTTCCCGCTTCCCCTCAATCCCGCCATCCGCTCATCCGCAAAAACACTTTTCTGCATGGTTATATAAATGCAATTGGCATCATCACACACAGCACACAGACAAATAGACAAGAAGGGGTAACCTCACAGCTTGGCACTGCCCACTGGCAATCCATTCCCGTTGCGCGTGAGTTCCATGTCCACCGAGGGTTGGGTGACCAGCTTCCGGATCGCATCGAACTTGGGGTTGTTCTTGTCTCTAACCAGGTCAAAAATAATGCTCTCACTAGTTGTGATCACACAGCCCGCTTGGCGCAGGCGATCCAGGGCCAAGTCCCGATCCTGGTTTAGCCTGGAGGAGCAGCAGTCCGCCACGATGTATACGTTGATGTTCTGCTCCAGCAGATCGATGGCCGTTTGCTCCACACAAATGTGAGACTGAGAAAGGGAATTTAATTAGAACTTATTTAGTTTGATTATCACTAAATACAAAAGTTTTCCTACAACTGATTTAGCTAAAATTTATTACAATTTTTAAAGATCGGAACTCACCTCCAGGCCATATAAAACTACATCCTCTGGCTTGTCATTGAAAATATCCTTGATCACAGCCTTGACTTCAGGAGTAAACATACTGAAAAGGGTTTTTCCAGCGACCAATTTTGCATGGCTCACATCCAATTGGGCTACGGTTTTTCCCAGTTTTTCCGGATAGTGTTCGGTGACAATCAGTGGAACATCAAGAGCCTTGCCCGCCTTATTCTAAAATCGATTTGTGTTAATCTTAAAGGCGGAAGATAAGGATTAATATCAAAATCAAAGTTCAACCTACAAGTTTATCAACGTTCTTGACCATGTTTTCAAAAAGCGGCATGCCGGGTCGGAACTTTTCCTGAATGTCGCATAACAGGAAAAGGGTTTTCTTCGGGTTCAAGTGACAGCGTCTTAGGGCCATATTGTCTAAAAATATTTAATAAAATAGTTATAGTTTTTCAAAATACGCAATTTTTGCTTGCTAGTTGAACTGACCGATGGTAACAGCTGTTTTCTGCCAGGGATACCTATAAGCGAACCGGTTAGGCGATCGATTGCCGGCTTCCGCAGGAAATGTTATCGACTTACACAAAACCGTTTCATTTTCTGCGTATTGTTTAGTTCAAATGGCTAAGCGACCTACTTATTTTAATTTTCGTTTCTACGATTACGATTTAGCACTAGATTTAAACACGATGCCCAAAAAAGTTATAAATTTAAATAAATGCAAATGGTAAAGATCATATAGCCGCCTGAGTTAATTAAAAAGCTCACATAATCCTCATTTAATTTAACTGTGCCCAAGGCGACACCATGAAGTAAATAATTACCAAACCGCCCCGTTTTACCTTCGCCTAGGCCAACGGCAATTAAGTGGAAGCTGCCGCACAGCCAGCAGATTTATATTCATAAGCCAAGGCAACCTGGAATCTGCAGGCATTTATAATTGAATTCCTCAGAAACACACCCGCCCCCGAGCTCCCAAGCTGCCGACCGACATTATAGTAATGAAGCCACCGGACCAGTCAATTTCAATAACGCAATCAAATGCGTGCAGTTTCAAAAACCACAAATGTGGAGAGCCGTTGGATCCAATGCCATTGGCATTCCCCGGAATGAGTGTCCGGCGGGCGATGGCAATATCTTGGACATTCCCGGCACGTAGCCTCGATGGACCCGGGCCGATACTTTCCTGGATCCGGGAAAAAGGAAGCCCACGATAATGGCCAAGGCGAGTCCGAGTCGCATGCATATTTCAGTAATTGTGCCGTCTTTTGTGTGCCACGCCCCTTCTCCGCTCATTTCTGGTCTACATATTTCATGAGACCCCAAAGTTTGCGGATGCAGCAATTTGGGGGCTTCAAAAGAGAGCCCCTAGTGGAACCACTCAAAAAGTAATCGAAATGTCTGAGACAAACACATGCGTACGCACCTGAGTGGCACCTGTATTCGCCGCTTGCGGGGGTTTCTGTATTCATGACGCCTCGCTCCCTATTCTGCTAGAAGAAGTCATCTTGATTTTCAATTTCGACGCCATTTGCGCTTCACCGGAATCGGGAGTCATTTGCATTTTTGTTCGGCTACACTTTCACTTGCAAAGTACTCGCACTTCCTGAGAAAGTTTCAGTGCGGCTCACCGTAGGAAAAAAATAATGGGAGTTGGTAATTGACGGAGATTTCATTTATGAGCAAAAAACAGTTTAAAAATATAAAATGTTTAACTTGAGTTGATCAGAATTGAGGAAGGGGAAGTCAATTAATGTGAAAAATCACTCAAGTAAGATGGCACTTCGATTTGAAATAAACATGAGCTCACATATTCCCTACGAATCATGAATTCGTTCCCCCTCGTTGGTAAGTGTATTAGGTGCCTAGTCAAAAAGTGCTAATGCTAATAATAAGTCGACACAATTGACAAAAAGTTTTTTCATCTACAAAGGAAAAAGTGGCACAACAACATCAAGTTCCCCCCAGCAATTGGATGGCATCCCAGCAGCAATTTATTGAATGTGAAAATTTAAAATTGTTCATTTGAGAAACAATTTGTGAGCATAAAGTAAAGTCGAAATGTTTTCGTTTTGTTACTCCAGCCCAGGCAGGCAGCCGTAAGTTCGAATATATGGCAATAAAAATCCAAGATGTTCGGGGAGCAACAACAAGCGCCCAGAGAGTTTGTGCGTCTGCCTGACTGTATTTTTATGTGATTTCTCAAGCCATCTTCCATCTGGGGAGTCCCGGGGAAAGTGCTCTCATGCGAGATCGAATGGGGAAATGGGGAAAATGTTATGCCATTTATTTAGAGTATTCAAGTCTTTTGAACTCCCCGCCCCCAACCGAACGTGCAGTGCCATTTGCAATTGTGCAATTTACCCAATGAAATGTAAATGCGAATCAATTGTAGTTTTATTTGCAGTAATTCCTGATTCGACAAACTCGACTTTGTGTAAACGCATTTAATTTCGAATATTCCATTTCCATTTGCATATTGCTGTCCGGGCGAATATTGGGGTTTAAAGGCTCTCGGTTAGTTAGTTAGGTGGAGCAACTAAAAGAGTTGAGGTCTCGTGGCTGCAGAAGAACACCGAAAAGCACTTTGCACGCGGCCAACTTTCCGAGGCCCCCAAACATATGTACATATATATGTACGAATATGGCAGGTACGTGAGGCGGCGCCCCAACCAATTGGATTCGCCACCCCCTTTTGCCCTCTGTTTACACCTCTTGAGGTCGCCTGACTCCCATGCATATCAACGATTTTCAAATTGGCGACGAAATGATATGCCAAACTACTACACACGGCGCGGCAGGGAAATATTTTTTTTTTTTGGAACCTCCTCGCGCGCAAGGACATGCAGCGGCATCGACATTATCGGGGGCACAGGTTGTAGGTTGTCATCCGGAGCTTGTAGCTGTAGCTAATGCTTGTCACGTCTCCCTCAACATTTGACAAGGCAAATTCGCCGAAAATTCCGCCCCTGACTTCGGGCCGACTCTTTGTTTTTTTTCCCCCGCGAAGAAACGAAGAAAATGATTTTCACAGGTGAATTGGAAAGCGCGTAATGTCGTAATGTTTGACTTGCCGGCAGGCACGTTGCCAACACATGTCCTCCATGCCTTTCTAAATCTGCACTGGGAAAATGGGTTGGGAAGTACATTTATGATGGAATTCTACGTACTAACTAAACGATTTTTCAGGAATTTCTATTATTTTCCCTTCAGACAGAAAACATATAAAAAAATATTGGAAAATCACGAAGCTAAACGCGCTCACACTTTAAATTCAAGTGCACGGCCACGTGTCGCATCGAACTCAACGGACCACGGGGCGTATGCGTATTCCACTTTTGCAAATTGGATGAAAATCTTTGGCTTTTCAGCAACGCAATTCTTTGGCCCCGCCCGCTGTCCGTGAGCGATGCATCAGGCTGGAAATTGACATGTCTAACAGAGGGTTGCACTTCTCAAAAGGGCAAAGGACAGGGATTGGGATGGAAAGAAGGAAAAGATCCTGGGCCTCCCTCATTCATCATGGCACGCCTGGCCGTGTCACAGAACTTATTTGTTGTACAATCGGGCTGGCGGAGCACACAACATGCGGCAGCAACAATTTTCGAGTAAAGGATTTACAGCACAGATCCGGAACACCCACACACAAGACAGGACAAGTTCTTGGCAGCTTACTCGGTGTTATTTTTTTTTTGCCGGGATTATTTCTGTAAACTTTTCACCCTGCCCGGCAAACAGATTCAAACAAATTGAAGAGCTCGGCTCACCTTGGTGCCCATTAAACGGGCCAAACGAGCCAAACGAGCCAGCTGAACATGTGTTACTTCGGAAAGCCGTAACTCTTCGCCCCACGTTTTTATTGCCGGCAGAGCTGGCTTGAACTTTAAGCAGCTTGCAGGCGGAGTCCTTCGCATTTGGCACAGCCACTGCTGCTGCTGCTGCTCTTGTCATTGGGGTTCATTGAACCGAGCGTCGAGCGGCGCATTTCCGGATTCCGTGTCTTGCGACTCCGGCGGAGTCTGCAAATAAACCCGGCTGAGTGGCCTGCTCGGAGGCTGAGACTCCGACGGGCTTTGATAAGCGTGCACATAATTATGGCCCTCTGAATGGGCTGGCTTCTTTAAAGCCACGTAGCGTGGCCTGCTTAAAGGCCATATCCGCATCGGGCCTTAATTAATGTTGCATAATTAACAGGGGGACGGCAAGGTGGCCCAACAAAGTTAAAGCACGGCAAAGAACAACAAGGCCGAAAAACAAAAAACAAAATACAAAAACTTTTCTAAGCATCTGCAAAACATAAAGCATACAAATTCTCACATCCTTGCCGAAGAACACGAAAAAAATTGCGGCCGGGCTCAAAGGAAAGTCCCAAAGGGCAAGCGGCGCCAAAGGCAACAACAATGCCCAAAAGGGGCGTGGCAGGGACTTCCCACCCTCGCCTCTTTGTTGCTGACAGCCTTTTGGCCACCTTCGACTCGGGGAGCGCCTCCAAATTGGCGCCAAGTTTTAATTATTCCATCATATTTATAAACTTTTGTACTTGCCACGCAGACTCATTATGTGCGTCATCCACCCACACTCGCATTCGCACAACAACAAGGCGCCCACACACACACACAATCGCACTTCAATGGCAGCCTGAGCTACACTGAAAAAAATGTAGAAGCGAAAAAATAAACGCTAATTTTATTATGCAGATTTACTAATGTTTTCATTAATATACAACGAATGCTTCGTTGAGTTAAGTATATTACGGATAAATATTGAAAAATGAGCCACACAAATTTTATGGAGCTGCGTTAGGAACACTAAAACCTTATTTTTTTCAGTGGATCGGGCAAGTGCCTTGTTGTTGCCGCCGTTTCCCTCTTGTTTTTGAGTCGTATCACAATAATGGCAAGGCGACAACGGCAGGACAATGACGACGTCTGCCTGCCTGACTCTATCCCGCCATCGTGGCATACTGGCTGCCTGGCATCCTGGCAAGGCACTCAGAAAGGAGTAGGGACGAGGATAAGGCGGCGGCGCGAGGCGTTACTCCATAAAAATGAACAACAGCTTTTTATTGCCGAACAATGAAGGCGAAAGCAGCTCTAAACAACCAAAGCGGAGCAAAGTTCGACCTTTCCCCTCTGGCTGGCGATCCTGTTTGCCGGGTCCTTGTCTTTGTTTGCTCCTGCTGCCATTGGCAAGAGCATTTAATGAGGCTGTCGCATTATTGTTCAATTGTGCTTGGAACGGCTCAGCTTGGCCAAGGAATTTCCAATAAATACGGCTAAGAAATTGAGAGAGTTGCTCTATAAAATGTTTATGGACGAATCGAAGAGGCGAATTAAATCAAGCATTTGTTTGACTCTGTTCTGCAACTAAAATGAACAATGAGGTTTATGGACTACGTTTATTGCTAGCTTAATATAAAAGTCACTTAAACAATGTGAAAAGTTCAACCATGAATTTAATAACCGAAGGAGAAAAAATGGTTATTATATTTAA